ATGTTTTTAATGTTAAAATTTTTTGGATATTATAATCAAAAAAAGTTAAAATTAAAATTTAGATTTTGTAATACTTTTTTAAATATTTAACTTTTTTAAATATTTTTTTAATATTTTTTTGAATTATAAAAAAAAATTTCATAACAAAATTAATTTTTGTGGTAATTGATTTCAATATAAAAAAATTTTTCAAAATAAAAAAATAAAATATTTTTTTTCAAAAATTAGAAAATTGATTTTTAATAAAAAATTTTTTTCCTTTCTCTTCTTTTTTTTCAAAATTGATTTATATTTAATAAGTAATAATTATATAATAATAATTGAAAAATTAAATGATATTAAATGATATCAATTTTAAAAAATTGCTTATATATTTTTTTCAAAAATTTATATTTTTGTTCAATATTCTTTAATTTGATTATATGCTATGATTCAATGATTCCATGATTAATATTATTTATTACTATGAGAATTAGTATTAAGAAAAAATTTTACTTGAATTATATAATTTCTAAATAATTAGGTTGTGAACAGCAACAGGGATGTAGCGTCAGTGGTGGTTGTGGTGATTCCGTACCAAGTTGTCGTCCCTTGGAGACAAGTGGTAGCGGAATCGCTTCTGGGGGGGCTGGAGATAATCAAGGGCACAATACGAATCAAACTCAAGTTCAATCCCATGTGACAGTATCTCCAATTACTTATCAACAAAGACCCAATTCTTTATCTGCTTGTTACGCATCTTGTTGTGCCGAATCTGCGAAAAAGGTTTTTTCAATAATATCTATATAATTTATTATTGATAATCGAAAAGAAAATAGAAAATTATGTTTTATATAATTTAAAAAATTCTTTTTAAAAATTAAGCTTGTTTTTTTTTTTAAAGTACAAACTTTATAATCATTTTATTTCTTTGTATAATTTTTCGAATTCTAATTCTTAAAATTAATAATTTTTTTATTTTAAAATCCAAAGTTTAATAATATAATCATTTAATTTATTATGTACATACTTCTTTTATATTTATTAAAAATATATATAATGTATTATCTGATGTTTATATATTACAATTTCAGATATATTTTGGAGTGTGTGTCACAATATGTGTTACAGCAAGTTGGGTTGGTGCAACACATTGTATTAAATATTTATATTTTGACAAACACGAAATTTCTACTTATTCACCGTTTTCTAACTCATCTATTACAGGACATCATCAGCATGTAAATATATAAAATCTTTGTAGTTTTACAAATTTTTATTATATTTAAATAAATACGATTTATTAAATAATATTTCTATAAAATAAATTATAATCAATTATAGTTATATGTATTTCTATATAAATTTGATAAAAATTTAGATCTATTTATTTCATAATTACTTTAATAATTAACTTTAATTATTAATTTAATAATTAATAAATAATATAATATATATATAAAAAATATAATTCAATTGAATTATATTTATATTAAAACATCATTTATTATATAACAATTTAAATCTTTTATAATTTTTTCGTTTTACGAATAAGACAAAATCTCTAGTTTAACTTAACTTTAACTTAATCAAACATTGTTTTTTTTAATTTTTAGATAAATTCGATATTATTTTATTTTTCAATAACTATTTTATTTGTTATATTCTTCTTTTTTTTTCAGTATTATTATATTTATTTTTTTTATTCTGAGATTTTATGATTTTTTAAAAATATAAACAATATATTGCAAATAATTCATTGATTT